GTTGGCCAGTGCTGGGTATGAACTAGAGATCTGAAGGTGTCACATCTACAGATGAACCAAATGAAGGTCAGAGAGGTGAAGGAACTTAGTAAGGTCTTGCAGCTATAAAACAGCCAAGTTCCAAATCCTGAGTGATTTGGCTCTATCCTCCAATAGTTACAGGTGGATGTCCAAGAGGGCAAGGACCTCTTTGACACAGCCACTCCAAGGGCAGGTTGCTAAATGACCATGCCTGATCCCAGGTCTGTAGGACCCAAATCCCAAATGACCACTGAGACCAGAGTGTAATTCTGGAAGGAGACAGTTCACCCAGCACTGAAAACAGTTCCCCATAGCATCACTGAGATCACCCCCTTGCCATTGTTGCACCTCCTGCTAAAATGCAATGCCTGTAGATTTTATTATCTGTCAATGTCAGAGCGTAGGACACCCTCAATAAACGTGTGCTCAGTGAACGAGCCATGGGAAGGCCTTCTGCTAAATTTCCTATAAAACCTCGAGAAAGCGCTGCCAATAAGCTGCTTGACAAGTCTCAGGTAAATTCACATCTTGCAATAAACTTTTTTTTTCAATGTTTATGATCCAGAAGAACTTCCTGTCTCTCAAAAGCAAACAGGCTCCTTCCTTTAGACCAAAGACAACCTACAGCTTACCAAGGCCACACCCACTAACTTACATATTACCTAGATTCTGAAAGCCGAAGACATTTACTCCCCAGCCCCATAGGAATTGTTTGCCAATCCTTAATTTAGACATAAATATCACCTACTCAGCACATGCCAACTAGCAAGTTCAGAGATAAAAACTTAACATTAAATTTTAGTGCCTCAATCATCTTCACTATTTTTGGTTTCTCTGTGCCTGTCTGTTTTGATCTTCTAATTGCACTTTAGCTTTTTACTTAAAAATAGCTAATATTTCTTCAGTGCGTATTATATGTCAGACACTGAATTGAGTCCTTGAACGTATACCCTTCTCTAACTCTCACAATAAACTCATGGCAGAGGTAAAATTATCCTCTATGTATTAAGGAAAAATGAATTAAAGAAAAGTAATGACAATGTCATCCACTGACTGCATAGGGGTGATATTTACTGTCATAATTCAACCTCAGAGAACATGACAGAGGTTGATGGGGAAATATGGGTGCTTGATCATTATGTAGACTAGGCAGGGCCAAGATCAGTAGCTGCAGCCAACAGAATTATGGGATTATAAAGCACTAATGCTCTGGGATTCTTGTGGTCCTTAATTTAGCTTTAGACCAAGGGGTGCAGTCACTTCTCACAAATCTTCCAGAATCACAATGAACTAAAGTCTCAGCTGACCTGAGCAGGATATAGAGTTACCCATGTCACAGACTCACAGACCCTGCCCCCATGACATGGCAGGGGTCACTTGGCCAACAGAGCAAAATCTGAACAAGGACCTGGGCTTCAAATTGAGTCCTCTTCAGGAAGGCGAAGGCCACTTTTGTTACGTAGCATTTTTACAAAGATGAAGATATTCTTTCTTAAATATCTTCATCCTAAGCAGTAATATCTGCAAAATCAAAGGCATTTGTGGGATTTTTTCCTGAACTTCTCAAAATAATATAAAACAATTATTTTGTTTCACAGAAGCTTGCCTGTCCACTAAAAGCACCTTCACACCTCATCAGCGCACCAAGAAACTCTGGCCAAGCAGGGGCAGAAGGCTGACGTGTCCATGTGCACGCACAGCTTCTGAGCTCTCTGGGGACAACCGTGACAGCTTTGGATGTCTCTGAACCTGGGTTTCTTCAAATGTAAGCAGAAGGGTCTCATCCACCTCACCAGATTGGGAGGTAAGCAGGCTCCTTCCAGGTGTTCATACAGCAGCTCTGAAGCAGCCCTAAGCTGGTCACTGAAACCCCAGAGGGGTGGACGCTGTGGGAAAACAGGAGGGCACTGAGCCATGTCTGACAACAGCAGCTGAGGGTCCACATGGGCAGGAGGGCAGCCCCAAGGACTAGAGCATGGGCTGTCAATCACCATGGGGACCCACTGAGGAAAAGCACAGTCTGAGACACCCGGGCTCAGCAAGACAGACATCCTGTCAAGCAGCTCAGATGGGACCGGCCAACAAGCTCGTGGGCTCCGAGCAGAGATGCGAACTGCGCAAGTGTGAATGGAGAAGTGCGGGAGCTGCTTTGGGCACAGGCAGCATCAACACCAGACCCAGCAGCCATGGGAACAGCAGCTGCAGGACCTGCCATCTAACTGGTGAGTCCTGCGGCCACTAAACGTGGTGCTGTCCTGATGGCCATGTCTGGTTTCCCCGTGTCACAGCTGTCACCCAACGTAAGTGTGACAATGCCCCTTTGACAACCCCCAGGGTCCCAGCTTAGAAGAGAAACTAGTCAGTTCCCTTCCAGTGAGGGTACTAAGGCTTAGAGAAGAGAGGTCATCTCTCCAAGGTCACAGCCACAGGGTGGGATGGGAGGCCCTCCAACAAGCAATAAGAGGTTGTGCCTCTCAGGTCCAGGTCCCATGGCTTTGTAGGCAGACAGAACTGTGTTCAAATGCTTCCTGTTGTCCCTGGGGACACTCTCTGGCCTTGACTCTGTGTGCCCAGTGACTCCAGCAGTAAACAGATCACAAAGACAGCACCTACCCAGCAGCTCTGTTTTGAGGTCTGCATGGGACCATGTTTGCCATGACCCCTGCACAGATCCTGGCTTAACAAATGGTGACTTGCTGCCAGACTCACGTCCACAGGGAGCAGCCTCCTCACAGACACTGGGGGAGTCTTGTCTGTGACCGTTGTGTGTCTTCTGGTCCCCGAGCCCACACTCACCCGACCATGGGGAGCAGGCGATAACCCAGACCACCACGGTGGTGTTGTTCTAGGAAGTAACTGATAAAAGGAGAAAAACAGAGCCATGGGCCATGTGATAAGCAAGGCACAGCGACCACAGGGCTGCCATGGAAGGGTTGGGGAGAGAAGGCCCGGGAAGGCAGAAAGCAGGAGAGGGTCCATGAGGCACCTCCACTCCCACGCTCACCTTCCTGGCAGAGATCCTCCCATCCAGGATAGCTCTGCTCACCACTGCTGACCCTACGGAATCTCCCAGCCCTGAAAGTCTCCCCAGATCCTCAGCGGCCCCCTCCCTGGCCAGCCACAGCAGCACAACACCCATCACCCTGGGTGGTAAGCCCCGTTGTCCCCAAGGGCACGTCCTACACCCTGACTCTGATATCTCCTGGGGACCAGCACTAGTCCATGCCTCCTGAGGGAGAAGAAAGACCCCCAGTTCTAAGGACCCAGCAAGCATTCCACAGCAGGAAGTGCTGGCTCCACACACTCTTCTGGAGAAGTCCTAGCCCTTCAGCTGGAGTGGCCTAGTTTGGATAAAACACCAGGGAGTTCTTGGTCTCCTGCTCTGCCTCCTCCTGAAAAAATACCCTTGAGCAAGGAGCCGAACAGCCTCAAGGTTCCCACCACAAGGTAGGCTCCCAGTCAGCTCGCCTGGTTGGACTGTCGGGCTAAACTATGCAGATGCTCCAAAGGAGGATGTCCTTCCCTCAGTCCTTCTCAGGAAAGCTGAAAGCAAACCGCAGCTGGGCCGCCATCTTGCTAATGCAACGGTCTCCTATGTCCCAGATGGAGCCAGAGCCCGGTTCCTTGCCTCAGAGAGCACTAGCTGTGTGTGTCGAATCCAGTCACTTGCACAGATGCTGTGCATCCAGGAGCCGTGGGTGGGAGCAGCGTGTGAGAGCCAGAGGACTCTACCACACGAGGAGGTGAGGACAGCCTGTCTGGGAAGGTCCACTGGCAGGACGCAACCAGGAAGCCTACCACTACCAGACCCCAAGCCTTACCCAAGTGCCTTCTGGGTAGTCAAATCCCTGGTGGCCCCAGGTGACCTGAGTGCTTATGGGAACTGCCACTGTCCTTCAGGAAGCCCAGCACTAAGGCCAACACATATTGGAGCTACCAACTTCCTAAGCCACCAACAGACCTGAGAGGCCAATCCTGCCTATCAGCTGCAGAAGCACAGTAGGCCTATGCTGGCCAGTACAGCTGTCCACTCCCTCCAGCTGGCATGAGGCTCTCTTCCCTTGCCTACCAATGACCTGCCACTTGACCTACTCACAGGTTCCAGGGACTGTGACCTGTCATCAGCTGTCCATGCCAACCGGTAGTGCCCAGTTCAAAGTCTAACACTGCCTACCTGGCTCTGCTCAGAGTGACCTTCCAGGACCAAGTGACACCTACCATCTCCAAGCCTCAGCACTGTCCAGACCCTGTCCAGAGGGTCCAACATGTCCCTGACACCAGTGTCTATTTTGTGATCCTCAACACTGACTCTGTCAAGCAGGATGATCTTTCGCCCCTACTGAAGAGAACAGGGAAAGGAACCCAGCAGCCACTTGTCCCGAATTACATAGGATGCACATGTTGGAGGCTGACACTCAGGACAGGCGCCTGCAGACATCCGACTCTCTCAGCATCAGCCACGTGGACTTACGTTGTTTCCAGGTGTCTGCGTGGAGCTAGACAACCATCCCCCCAGGCACATCTTCCCCACTGAACCTCAGGTGTCCTAATTCACTAACCATCATGTCTTCCTTCATCCTTTCTACAGAATTTAGGACGGTGTGACAGGCGTGTGACGATGTTTTAAAGACACGGACATGCTCCAAAGACCCTGGCCTTCAAGGCACGTACACCCCGGAAGACTTCGATACAAGAACCAGGAAGATCAGTGAAGGGTGACAGGCAGGACAGCACACGTCAGCACAAGGCACAGGGGCAGCTCCCAGGAAGGACCTTTCAATTTGCATCTGTCTGTCCAAGGCTCCCAGCACCATGCCAGACTCATAGATGATGAGCTCATGAAATAGCAGCTCCTTCTGAGGACCAGGCACATCAGAGCTAGGACAGCCACCACTAGCTAGGACAGCCGCGCCTAAAGCCCCAAGCGCACTGGACAGAATATTCAAGAGATGCTTCACAGGGAGGAGATGGGGACTTACGTTTCAGAGGGAGCCAGAGGGAGCTGGCAGCTGAGGTCCTCTGTGCATCCCCTGAAGGCATTCAGGCTGGAAGAAACCACGGAGCCCTCCGCCAGGGTCTTCCTTAAAATCCCTTGTACCATCCTAAAATGTGCCAGGTGTGTGTAATTCCAGGGCGAGCTTCCACCAGTGGTCTCCTTATTCCCCAGGAGACTGGACATCACTGCAAATCCATCAGGCTCAGGAAAGATCTAGAATGAGGCTCCTTGCAACTGGCAGCACAGCTGTGTTGAGCAGCATGTTTTTAACCTCCTTCTGGTCCGAAGATCAGGCCTGGGACAGGAGGAAGGAACAACAATCTTGTCACACTCACCGATCCAGAACAGCAGTCGGCCACCCCTCCCTCCTCTTGATTGACCCTGACATTCTCAGAGAGGAACTCACAAAAAACAACTTCCCATAACTCTGGCACCCAAGCCCAGGGAGGTCAGGAGTACCTGGGGCTGGTGGTTGAGTGTCGCTTCCCAAAATGCACCGAGGACCCCCTCCAATAGGGGCCTTCCAACTGCTGGGGGGTCCTCAGAATTGCCCTTGGGAGGAGGGTGGAGCTGAGGTGCATCTATTTTGCATAAAAGCAGAGAGAGTTAGGTGTCTGGCTTAGAGCCACAGCAAAGCCAGGCCTGGCACCAGGCCTGGGCTCCCTGCAGGGCTGCAAGGTCCCAGCAGTGAGCTGAGAGGCTGAGGGTCAGCTGGTGGGAAGTAGTTGTTTTGTTTCTCTTGCAAGACAACCACAAAACCCTGGCGTGGCTCCAGACCTTGTCCTGCACTGTGAGCTTCTTCAGGGCAGGGCCTGAGGCCTGTTCCTTTCTTGCTCATTCACTCAGCAATCCTGCAGCACCTGTGAGGTTCCAAGTACTGTTCCAGCTCTAGGTGAGGCCTTGGTATCTTTACACCACCATCCTCAAACTACCCCACAGACAGAAAAAGGGGGTCCACAATGCCCAGACCCAAGGCTCAGCATTCCCCAGCCACCAACGAAGCACTCACTGCCCCTCACAGAGCATCTATTAGCCACCCTGCAAGAAGATCTGGCCCCCACATCCTGTAAGATCCCCTCAACTCCTGACCCAGGTTCCCAGATGAGTCTTGGAGCACAAGGACTACTTCACACTGGTAAGAGGGGGCCTGACTCTCAGCCAGACTGCCTCCCAGTCTGAGCTCTGATCCACGGATCCGAGGTGTCTTGAGGGCTGCCACCCCCGAGAGGCTACAGCCCAAACTCACTTCCAGGCATTTCACATGTAACGAATCCTCTTTTCATCTTAGAACCACAGCAGCTATGCGCTATAGATCATTATTTTTTTCAGTTTTTGAGATGAGAAATTTGAAGCCCAGAAGTTGAGCAGCTTCCCCAAGGTCACACAGGTTAGAAGCCAGGCGTCTGCTCAAAGGTCCATGAACCTGACCATGACTCCACCTCAATCAACAGCCACCACAGCCACCAAAACAAATCTTCATAGACTTAGCAGTTTAGAACAGCCCCACTGTGTTCTCTTTCAGTTCTGGAGGTCAGCCGTCTGGCATGGGTCTCAACTGAGCAAAAACCCAGGCAGAACAGGGCGCTGTTCCTTTCTGGGGCTCTGAGCGGATCTGTTCCCTCACAGATCCCTCGCTTTTTCTACTTCCCAGAGGTTGCAGGTATGTCTGGGCTCACAGCTTCCGTCTACATCTGCAAATCCAGCCCCGGTCCCTCTCTGCCCCTGCTCTGCTGTCAGGCTCTTTTCCCGCCTCCCTCTTCCACATTTCAGGACCCATGTGACTCTGCTGGGCTCACTCAGATGATCCAAGATAACCCCTCTGTCTCAAGGTCCCCAGCCTTGATGGCATCGGCAAAGTCCTTTTTGCCATGTAACTGTAATGTACTTACAGATTCAAGAGATTAGGGCATCTGGGGGCCGTTTCTCTGCCTCCCGCAGCACCTGCACCAGAAGGGCATTCATCCCGTTTTTAAGCATCCTTGAAAGATGAAAAGCCGCCCATTCTCCAAATGGAAATCAAGCCAGCTACCTCCAGATCCACCTGACCTGACCCCCCACCACCACACACACTTGCTCAGTCAATAAAGCAAGCACCAAGGAAACAGCAAGGTAGGTTCTCTTCCACACACCCACCACCCCTCACAACACCTGGGTACCCTGATATCCTCACCTACCACACAGGGTTACACCAGGGTTGTGGTCTCCTCAGGGTCAGCAGTGACCACCAGTTAACGAGGACATTCTAGGAGATGCAAAGGACTAGGTGCTCAGCACGCGTTATTTTATTCATGTCAACTGCTACGGCGTGTGGAGGCCCGTGTGTTCACCCACGGTACAGACCACACTCCCAAGCCTCAGGCTTGAAGAGGCAGAGTCGCGTTCTGCATCCTAGTTGGCTCTGACTCCTAAGTGTGTCTTCTCCATTCTGAGCTATACCCTCTCTTATTAAATGAGGCACCGTTTCTAGAAAGTTCTGCATTTGGCAGTGCTCAAGTAACTCCTGTTGGACAAGCGCTCCTGTGGATAATAACTATAAACCCTGTACAAAATATTTTTTGCAAAAAAAAAAAAAGAAAAGAAAACCAGGAGGAGAGAGAGAGAGAGAGACGAAATAAAGAGATAGGCAGAGATCAGAGACAGGAGGGAAGAGAAGTGAGGGAGGGAGGAGAGATGGGAGGGCAGGAACACAAAGAAACCTCACTAAAGGCACCAGAATGACCAAATGCAGCAGGAGGCCCACTATATGGATCAGCACTTCCTTGATGTCCTCCTTTTGGTCATTTTTAGCCTGAGGTCAGGCCCAGGTCAGTACATACTGGGAGCTAAAACTTAGTTTTGCTGAATTTAAGAATCAGGACAGAGAGCGAGAGATCAAGATTTTTTTCATTTTCACAATAGCTGAAAATGAGAGGTGAAATCCTAGAAAAGAAAAATCCAGAAAAGGATAGCCCCAATTAAGAGTGTATAAATGTTCCCAGTCCCACTGAGTGACCCCTGAGCCCAAAGAACTGAACAGAGATTTTCATTGTTGCCCATGTAAGAGGCACAGTTCGAAGCCACTAAGTGTACTGCTCACAGAAACAAAAACGCAGTGCTCTTCAGAGGAACAGAGTGGAACTCAACCCTACAGCCTCTCACCCACAGGGTCCACCAGGATTAAAAGAGCACAGTACAACAAATGACCAAAGAGGAAATCTGACCCATTCAGGAAAAACAGATGATTGTGGCCACGTCCTCAAAATGCCCAGTTGCTGGAGTTAGCAACTATTATAACTATGCTGAAGAACTTAAAGGAAAATATATTCTTAGTGAATGAAATGACAGGAAGTCTCAACAGGAAAACTTAAAAAAAAAAAATGGAAATTGGGGGAAAAAAAAAAAACCTCAAAATCAATTCCCTAAATTCATTCAACAGCAGATTAGGGGGTGGGGCGCTAATGAATTTGCAAAGAGATCAACAGAAATTGTTCAATCTAGAAAATAGAGGAAACATTATGAAAAAACTGGAGAGGGCCTCAGGGGCCTGTTGCACAATATCAGAAGGCCTCACAGACGGGTAATTTTAGTCCAAAAGAAAAAATGAAAGAGAAGGAGCAGGATTGATAGCTGAAGGAAAAAATGGCAGGCACCATCTCAATAAAAGACATGGATTTACAGATGCAAGAATCTCCGTGAATCCCACACAAGAAACACAGACAGACCCCCGTGAAGGTGCCGGGGACATGCTGCAGGAAACCAGTGACTGAAAAGTCTTGAGAAGAGACGGAGAAAGACTAAAAGTCACACCTGCACCCAGCAGGCACTCTGCAGGGGACATCCTCAATCCACCTGGCAGCATGAAAGCCCATTCTATGACCCAGGGAAAAATGGATATAAAAGGAAGCTCAGGTGTCTAAGTATCAACCCCTACAAAAGAAGAGAAAGTGAAGCACAGCAGTAAAATATCATGGTTTGAAGTTAGACTGCCAAATGCACTAGCTAAGTTACTCGAGGAACACTTTTTTCTTTTTCTTTCTCTCTCCCCCACATCACGCCACTACTTGAGTTTGAACCCAGAGCCTCACACATGGTAGGCAAGCACTCTGACACCGAGTTTCAGCCCCAGCCCTTCCCCAACCCTTTTTTTATTATTATTATTTTTAGTTTGACGCAGGGTCATGATATTTTGCTGAGGAACTTGTGATCCTCCTCCCTCAGCCTCCCAAGTATCTGGGATTTCAGGCATGCACCCCTGTGCCTGACTCTGGGAAAATGTCTTTAACCTTAGATTTTTCTTCTCTGTAAATAGCAGTAAAAACATGTACCTAGAGTCCTCGGGTGAGGCTGTTCTATGGTCTGAATGTCTGTGTCCCTCCAGAATTCATATATTGAAATCCTAACTCCTAAGGTAGGTTTTGGGCACAGGGTCTTTCAGAGGTGATTAGGTCATGGGGGTGGAGGCCTTAGGATGGACTAAGTGTTCATCCAGAAGCGACCCAAGGGGCCTCCTTGCCCCTTCTACCATGTGAAGACAAGCAAGAAGGTACCACCTGTGAACCAGGAAACAGGCCCTAACCAGACACCAAATCTGCCTGAGCCTTGATCTCAGACTTCCCAGTCTCCAGCACCATGAGAAATACATTTCTGTTGTTTAAAGCTTCCAGTCAAAGGTATTTTGTTATGGCAGTCCAAATGGACAAAGACAGGTTGACCTCAAATAATCAGCATCAAGCATTTAACAGATTGCTGACCACACATTAAGAGCTCAATTCTAAGCCGGGCACAATAGTGCACATCTGTAATCCCAGCAGCTCAGAAGGATGAGGCAGGAGGATGGTGAGTTCAAAGCCAGGCTCAGCAAAGGCAAGGTGCTAAGCAATTCAGTGAGTCCCTGTCTCTAAATAAAATACAATTTTTTTTTTTGAGTGCCAGAGTTCAATCCCCAGTACATACCGCCCCACCCCACCCCACCCCCCCCCAAAAAAAAAAAAACGCTCAATTCTGGCTATCATCCATGCATCAAATGGAAAAAGCTACCCCCAAGTCCAAGGCAGTCCCCCAGAACCACCATAGTGGCTCCTCTTCCACTGCTCAGTCCCTACAGGTTCCACTGAGAACCAGCAGCACAGCAAAGCAGTCAGGAGAGGCCAGGAGTGCTGTGAAGGTCAGGATTGGAGGCCAATCAGCTGGGAGGGGCCCCGTCCAGCAGGAAGGGGAGCTGTGATATATGGTGCCGGCCTTGGCTGCGGCAGGGGAGGTAACGGGGGACATTGTTAAATATTTACTGAGGCCCCCAGGCAAGTCTGAAGCCAGGTTTATTTTGTTGGGGTCGGGTCCATTAAAGCTCTGTCACCTGAGGAAGAGTTATTACATGGTCTGTTGGGTATTACTGCAGCCAAGTGGTGGTCCCTGGCCAAGGGCAGGGGCGGCACAGAGGCTCACGTGAGCAGCCTCAGCACACACTCTCCACCTGCAAGAATGTGCCCTCCCAGGTCTGGTTCACCTGGATTTGGGAGACCCTCCGAACCACTGCTGTTCTCACAGGGAGCATGTCCTCCTCTCTTCTGCTCACCGGCTACGGGATTCCTTTCCAGTCACTTATTCTTTCTAGAAGGGTCTGGCTAAAGCAGGAACGACAGATGAGGCCATCTGGAGCAGGAAGTCATACCTGCTGGTGGACAGACATTCTGAGGAAGGACAAAACCACACGGGGACCCCCAAACATGAAATGTATGCATCCCTGTGACCCAACGGCCCCAGTCCTCGGGACAAACACACAAACATGTGCATGTGACACCCAAAAGACAAGACGGAGGTGCTCAGAGTGCCATTCCCAACCGCCAAACAGGAGGGACTCTTTCTGTGGACAGAAGATGGTACCACCCAATGAGCAACAGAATGACCGGCCAGCCAGGCGCGGTGGCTCAGTCTGTAATCCCAGCATCTTGGGAGGCTGAAGCC